CTGTGGATTCTTAAGTGTAGCCAAGGCCTCTGATTGTAAGAAGGTTTGCAGGCCCGCTTGGCTAGGGTGAAGCATAGTATCAGTGGAATAACTGGTATGTTTTATGTCAGGGGGGACTAACTTCTGCCTTTGCAGTGGGATGAATGTATTGACCTAACAGGTCCATCTCAAAGTATTATGCTGCTAACATCCTATGCCTAGAATATGCCAGATACTGATAGTTGAAGGGATTTCCCTCTATACATTTTGTCAAATGCAACCTGCAAAAACAGGTTGCTTTTATCAGTGTCCCATCCAGCATAAGAATTGAAGTGTCATTACTTCTCCTCAACCATTACATTTAGATAGAGGTAATGGTAGTGCAGTATTTGAGGACAAGATGGCAGTGATATAATATCTGCTGAGAGTCACTTTGCAGATAATGCTTATTAAACTCTCTCACAGAACAAGTGAATAAACATTAAACTTGCAGTTGACTTTGAGCCTCTGTGAGGGGTTTTTTGTTGTTTACAATCTTTCCAATATTAAGCAATGTCTTATCAGGAGTACTGCTGTTATACAGTGGTGATGAATGAATCCACAGTCCCTATGCAGCCTTTAACAGTCCAGGCTGACGTGTGTACAGAGCCTTTTGGACCAGTGGCGATTCAATGCCTGATACAGATGCTCAGCTACATAGGGAGATTGTCACTGTTCTTAGAGTGAAAGTGCTAAGATGCTGTCCTGTATAATCCACTTTCCAGTGTTGTTCTGGAACACAGGTGAGCATTCAGTGAGTCAGGCCTCCACACTCTAATTGCCCACAGCAGATTCAACACTCTTGGCTCCTTTCTGGGCTTGAGTGACTTTTTTTTTAAAGTTAGTTTGCTTATATAGTAAATGTACCTAGCCAGACAGGCTGCCATAAATGTTCTTTGGTTGAATTATAATGGCACGGGATGACCTGTGGTCAATGGTGACCATCTTTGGAAGTTCAGCTAATCAGCTGCCAAGAATTCCCATGTGACTAGCCTATATCTCAATCAGAGAAGTGCTAACTTGGCCAGTCTGGGTCAAAATGAGGTTAGGATGGGTATTGGAGCACCAAGGACATTTGTAGGATGTCATCCAAATGATAAACCACAAAGCATGTCACTTACTTTAAATCATTGTTTACTAATGGCTCACTAAAGTCTGCAGGATGTGCCACAGAGAAGCCTGAAGTGTTGGGAATGTAGATTAAAACCTCAATTCAGCAAATCATTTAAGCCCATGCATAAATCCCAGTGAAGTCAGTGGGATTTAAGCAGTGCTTAAATGCTTTGCTCCATAGGGATAGGCGGCTGATCTGGTGCCTTGGGGAAGACTAGTTCCATTTAGCCCAGCTTCATGCCCTTTCTAAGAAAAGCTCTCTGTGATGTTTTGCATTCAGATGGTATGCCTGCGGAAAAAAGAGCAGCGGATCCTTGGCCTTCATTTCATTGGACCAAATGCAGGTGAAGTGATTCAAGGATTTGCTCTTGGAATAAAGTAAGTACAAAAGAATGTGTCTACTTTTAAAGCCTGCTTTTTAGGTTATTGTAAGATTATAAAAGATATCAGCTGAATTTTGGCAACACTATAAAGAATCGATGTTTTATGTTACTTTTATGTAGTATGACACATATTTTCACTAAAACACTGTAGTTCTTTGTTACGATATACTGGATTTAGTTAAAGAAATAATGGGTATAGTTAAGGAAGAACTGAGGCAAAGTGTATGATTGGCCAGACATTGTTAGAACAAAAAGTCAACTTGAGTGTCCACCTATTAAGTTTGGTTTCTTCAAAGACTGACAGGGATGCCTTTCCCAGCATTCCACCCACAAGGCAGGAAATGGTTTTATAAACCTGCACAAGCCTTTTCTTTTTTTAAAAAAAGTTCACTTCGACGTGTTGTCCATAAGAGGCCTCCATATACCAGTCGGGTCTCCTAAGGATCTCTACCCATTTCTCTACCCTTTAAATGTGCCACCTTCCGGATCCTGATTCAAGTCTAGCCACCATCTGACTTAAATGAGACTAGACAACTCCTTCATTGCCTGGAGCCCTATATGAGCTGTTATGCTTCAGGGCATAAGCCAACTGCTAAGCGAGAAGGTGAGGAAGAAGCTTCTCCTATGTGGGGGGAGTTATTTCATAATTTCCCATTATACGGAGGTTTTACACCATCTGAAATGTTTGGTACCAGTCACTGAGACAGACAGGACACTGGACTAGGCGAACCATCGGTCTGATGTAGTATGAGAGTTTGTTTTCATTGATACTGAGGCACTTTCTCCTCTTGGGTTGAGTCCCCTGCCTTCCTTTCACTCCTAGCTTGAGGAACGATCCTGGGTCCTCTCTATAAGTGCAGAACATCACCGCTAGGTCCCAGATGTGCCCTAATGCTTTTTTCATTCCTCCTGTTGTCATTGACTTTCATCTTCAGAAGTGTTTATTATAATGATTAAATGTATCGTTCTGAACGGCATACTATTTTATGAAGAAGGCAAACTCTGGTCCCTGAGAAACTTTTTCCTAAGGATAATGTCAGCTAGTTGTCCTAAATGTCATCACCATGTTATTATGGCATTGTTGACTTTTACTTCTGCGTGATTAGCATAAATGAAAAGCAGAAAGGACCAAGGCAACAGGACCACAAGTATCATGTGAGGAATATCTTGGAAATCGTTGACTGCCGTATATCCCAAGTATGCATATTTCCAACATGTGTGTAGTTCATTAGTTGCCAGTGGTAGAAATTACATATTGCATTTTTTAGGAGGTCATGGTTTTGAAGTTTTATCCAAAATAACCAATGCAAAGGAAGTATATGAAACTGGAGCACTTTTCTACCTTGCCTCTAGCCACAGTAACAGATTTTCAGAAGGTCCAATCTTGGTGTTGGTAAACTGTTGTATTTCACAAGTCTTGGGTTTATAATGTACAATACAGGCATAGTAAGTCTGAACTGTCATTTCACTGTGTCAAATATTAGCTCTTATTTTAGCCCCCATTTAAAAGGCTGTCCCCTGCCAAAATAATCTGTGCTCTGCTAATGTGTGGTCTGTGCTGATTTTTATCCTACAGGGATTCTCAGATGCATACGAGATACTAGTAAAGATTTCTTCCTCTTTTCTCACGCATCTAATTTTTCCAGCCTGAAATGATTCTTAAATTTAGACCTTTATGTTGCAGCATTCTCAGAAAATGACCTGATAGGAATAGTGGCACATTTTAGGTCTGACTACACTGCAGCTGGGAGTATGCCTCTGAGCATGGAAAGACAGACTGGCACTAGCTTTGCTCATGCTATCGTGCTAAAAATTGCAGTGTGGACATGGCAGGTCAGGCTAGCCGTCCAAGCCCACCCAACCCCCTTGGTCTGAACTCAGGTGGCAAGCCTGAGCTGCTGTCTGCTCCGCAGCATCCACACTGCTATTTTAGTGTGCTAGCTCGCACAGAGCTAGCCTGAGTCTCAGTACCCAGGCTGGGAGGCCCACTCCTAGCTGCAGTGTAGACAAACCATTAAAGGTCATCTAGGTCTAAGCCTCTTGTGGTTAGAAGACTGAAGGAATGAAGCAAGTAGGATTGGTAGGTGCAGAAGTGGAAATCCTGGATACACGCTATGTACCTTTTGGAGAAGTTTTCTCTTGTTTGCCTTATAGGAAATCGCAAGTGTAAGCACTATACACCCTCTGATATCCTGAGAGGGCAGTCTAGTATTCATCTCTCTTCCAGTTGATTTTTGCCTGCAATCCAAACTATGATTTTTTTCCTACATGTCTACCAGTAGGAAAACCTGATGTCCATGTGCAAATGTTTTAATACCCGAAAGGATGGTCTTGTAGTTAAGAAACTGGACTGTGACTCATGAGATCTGGATTTAGTTCCTTGCTTTACCACACTCACTATGTGACCTTGGGCACATGAGTTAATCTCTCTGTACCTCAACTCTTCATCTATAAAAATGAGAATAATAATCCTTCCCTACCTCACAATGCTGTGAAGGGAAATCTTTGAATGGTTACCAGGTAAGTACCTTCATAGACTATGGTTGTGTTGGTAATTGTCTCTGCTTTGCTTTTTGGACAATAGCTTCAAATGCAACTTCTCCACTGGCTATTACTCTAGAAAAAGAGAATAAGGTAAACCCAGTCTGATGCTTTGTGCCATTACAGATGTGTTATGTGCGCAGAGTATGACTTTGTTTTCTTCATTTTCTTTTTGGTAGATGTGGGGCTACGTATGCGCAGATGATGAAGACAGTTGGCATTCACCCTACCTGTGCTGAGGAAGTAACCAAGTTACGTATCACAAAGCGCTCTGGTTTGGATGCAAAGGTCACTGGTTGCTGAGGTTAAGTCCAATCCCTGGACAGAAGTTAAAAGCGCACAGTAGAATTGAGAAGGAAAAAGAGCATTCTGAACTGACACAGTTTTGGTAATCGTAGTCCTGCAGCTCAAGGTTTCCTAGGTATCACTCCTTCGGTAGACAACAAAAAGTGAATTTTACAATCCTAGCCATACTGTACCTACCTAAAGAACTGCCCACACACATCTTTAAAATCAACACAGTACTTAACCTTCAGGGAAATAGGGCTTATGTCAAAAAGCATCACTTCTGAAGTGCCTGTGTCCTTTGTCTTGCTGGGAGCTAGAGAAAATCATCATTTTCTGTACATCAAAATGTGTTTCTTGCCCATCACTTGGCATCTAAAGCTATGTAAAACTTAAATGGATATCACTTTGTTACAGGAACAGTGGCCATCACACTACTAACCATTCCCACCCACTGGCAAATTAATCCCACTTGGATGTCATCTCTCCGAGAAATGCATTGTCAAACAGAGGTGAAGCGGATGCCAAATATTTGGAGCTCTCTGACAGTGTATGCGTGATTTCCGTAGCCAGGGTTTTCCCAATAGAACACCTAGCTACTGACCTCCCCCAAGAATTCATCCCTGAGGAATGATGTCCAAATCTCACTGAACTGAACCAGGGTCTCAGATAGTGAGTAGAGAACACGGGCAATAATTCCTTCTCAGCTCTGGCAAGACGGCTCCCTGCTGGTGGTAATCACAAGAGTTCAAAGTCAAGGCTCGTTGACAGGAAACAGATCCCAAAGCATATAGCAGTAGGTAAGCAGTGTTCAGTGTTTCAGGGAAATGTACCATGTACAGGAATTGGTATTAGAGGAGAATATAAAGTGACCATTAGAGTTGTTACACTAGTGGGTGAGTTCACTGTTGGCATAGGCAGTGTGTGTCATTGTGGAAGCTCATAGAATTCCTTTAGCAACGAGGAAATTTTGCCATTTAAACACTTACAGAAAGAACTTGGGGTTGGTGAAAACTTCCCTGCACATTTTTCAAATTGCTAATTAATTTCAGCTCAGATTGAATTGGCAGATCACACAACTTACTGCTCCAGTGCCAAATAGCAAGCAATACTGAAAATTGGAATTGAACATAGAAAGCTGTGTGTGCTGTTCATATAGCTCAAATATTTGACATGAATTGGAGTGTGGTGTATATGATCTGTGTTTTTTTAAAAATAGATTTTCATTGATAAACTAAAACTCCTGTAACTCTCACAATTAACTTTTGGTAGTTGGGATCTGAACTGCATTATATTAAAAATAAAACCAGAAAGGAGATGTACCTGTTCAGAGCTCACCTTTTAGATACCCATCTGCAAACTGTTCTTTCAGCGTATTGCCCAAACTTCCTGGAGGAAGAAAGCATTCACCTAGTGTGAGCTGCTTCTTATTCATATTGGCCAGAAGGGGGAGATCCTGACTAACATGTAGCAATATAAAAACAAGATAGAAATCCAATAGCACAGCTGCTTTTGCCAAATACTGTTAAATAGGTAGCCTGACAAAGGCAAAACAAAAACCCCAAGCCCTCAGAATTTCATTTGAAGTAGCAATTTATTGCTAATATTGTATTTTGAGAAGTGCAATCACATATTTACTCACGACCCGTTAAAACAGTGCATGTGGGAAGGGGAGGGGTTAGTTACAATTCTTTAGAAAGACACAATAAAAATCAGTCTTTCATGCTGTATTTTAAACAGTATTTTTGCAAATGAGTTTTGACAGTTTCCTAGCCATCCTAGCGAGCCCTGTTAATTGCAAAGTTCTTAAGATCAGTTTGCTGACTATGCACATCTTTGAAATTTTTTTCTTAGACTGTCCATTTTAAGACATTGTTTGTTTACTATTTCACTGAGAGTTATACTATAGATAAGTGGTGGATTTAATTTAAGTTTAAAACATATCTTGCCACCAGAATTGTACAGCACATGCCCCAGAAGCTATTGAAAAACTCTGAAGCTTCAGCAGACATTATCAAAACAAATGTAATAGTACTTATCAACACACCATCAAGGTGGTATTACAATAAATTCCTTTCAGGGATCTGACTTTAAAAACAAAACAAAACCCCACAGCCCTATACTGGTTCTAAGTGCCTCATTTCCAAAGTTTGACACTGTAAATCTTAAATGTGTTATAAAAGTATTAAGTCTTGATATTGTAGGTGAAGCAGATAATATACCCTAGCAGTGCAGAAAGAGCAAATAGGTTTCCTACTGCTATTCAAGAAACATAAAAGTAAAAGCTGTATATGATGGGTTACAGTATTTCTAAGTTGGTTTCACGAGGCTAGAATTTCAAGGTACAATTTACAGGTATTGTGGCTTTTCCTAAAAAAAAAAAAAAACATAGACACAAATTATGGATAAGTTGCTTCCCAGATCTGTGGCTCCTAACATTACAGATTTTAGAGTAGCACATTCAAACCAGGATTTGTATTGCGTAGTCCATAAAAGAGAGGAGTGGTTCAATCAAACGCTGTTGCCTAATGATTATAGCATTCTGCATTTCTCATCCTCTGTTGATTTGTTTGATTCAGCACTAAGACCAAGTCTATGGACTTGCAGGTGAAAGGAAACATTTTGGGAACGGAAATGTATTTGGTGTGCTGCCTTTTTGTTGCTACTCCCTTCATAAAAAATGTTTTGAAAGTGTCATGTTCACACACGCATAGTCAAAACCTCCCTATCTCCCTTGGTAAGAGAGGACATCCTGCGGAAATATAATATTGGAGCCAAAACACCTCTGTACATTTTTGAGCAATTAACAAAAAAAAAAGCATACAGTAAACTTTAAAATTATTTCAAAATATTTTAGTTGATTTAAATATTGAGCATTTCAGAGCAAAACCTATTTGATCTTTCTCAGCTGCTGGGGCATATGACCTGCTTCACCTAGAGCATTTCGGTCTTCAGAGTACTTGCTAGGAGAAACAGCCCTCAGTTGGTTATAAGGTGTGTGTGTGAGCATTTCTAATGATCTCTGCGTTGCATTGTGGCATTGCTCATTTCCTTTGCATGCATTATCAGGCACCCACTGGTTCGGCCATGTTGCTGTTGTATTCAGTCCTCCCTGTGGAGTTTATGTGCATTATGTGCAGTTAAAGAGAGGCCCAGGAGGTGAGATGAGTTAATTTCACTTCTATCATGAGACTGCCAGTGGAAAAAAACAACTTGCTGTACTGCAACCAGTAAAGAGATCTGGTGGGAAAGTGTCCAAGATTTTATGTAGGGTGTGAAATTAATCCACATCATCACTGTCTAAAGTAGCCATCTAATGGAGCCGCCTTTTGTTTTCAACAATTTATTTTCACTAGTTTAGAATCACAATATGGGCTTTTATAGACTCCATGAAAATTGATCTTGCATCTTAAATTGCATCCTGGCTCTGGTCCTCATTTACTACAACGTGTTGTCCACTGAAGTAAATCTTGATGTACGTTCATAGCTACAAAACACTGATGTGTCAGAACCAAGAGTGAGGCAGAGTAACTGAAAACTACTTGGATTGGTATTATTTTCTTGGTGGATTCCTTGTGTGCTCTCCAGGGATAGCCATTCGTAATAAAATCAGCCTGACTAATGTCAAGTGAAAAGTCTGATAGATGCTGCAAATTATTTACTATGTGTGTAAGTGAAAATGTATGTTTAAATGAATACACACAGTCAGGCTGTCTTCTCGGGGTGCCAGCTAATGATGGCTTGTTTGTCAAACCACACAGTGGAATAGACAAGTCTGAGGATTGCTGGATCCCTATCAAATATATATATATATATATATATAATCCTTATATTTATTGTTACATTATGGACAAATAAATGATTTTCTTAAAGAATATGTTGCTATGTCTTTGCTTAACTTAATTTACATGCACGGTCTGTGCTTACTGAAAACCTCATCCTAGTGGTCTTCAGTTAAAAGTGGGGCCTTTTTATTCTAATGTTTCTGTTGGTGGGATGCTGATTGGTATGGAAACTAAAAACAGTCACCAAACAAATTTAAATGCCTTGAACATGGAGTCACAAACATATCTCCCAGCTGCCTAATCTCTATAGTTATTAGCCCCTGAAAACTTTAATGGATTTCTAGCTTTACAGCACAGCAGGGTGACCTTGTTTTATTTTAAATTTAAAACAAAGGAACTCCTTACGCGCTGTAGCTATGATTTCAAATGTTCTTATGGCTTGCCCAGGTAATGAGAGCTACCAGGTTGGCTCAGATGTGTGTTGATGATGATGTGCCTTCAAGATGCATGCTAAGAGGAAACTCCCTTGAAACACTGGGAAGTCAAAGGATTAAACAAAGCATTTATTTACCTTGTTTACAAAGCCAAAATAAAATGGATTATAGTGAAACTGCATTACAGCAAAACTAACTAGTTGATATGGGTGATGCTAGGAGAAAACATGTTGCAAAGGAAATTAGGAATTAACTTTAGTAGAACATTGTTATAGCCCATGCGAGGCACTTCTGTCCATCAGAGGAGAAAGAACCACATTGTCCGGCTTCAATCTCAACTTCCTTTTATCTCTTTAGTCTGCTCTCCTTGGTAAGAAGTTCCCACTTAGGTATTACCTGATGATCAGACCTCTAACTGGTTAGTTTAAAATTAATTCTCGTATGGATTCTGCCCTTGGTGTGGCCTTGAAAAGGAATATTGTCACTTAGCTGTATTAAAGGCCTTTTCACTCTCACAAAGTTGATCTCCTGGGGTTTCACTGTAGCCTTTAGCTTTGTGATAATGAACAACTCCCTTTGTCACCACTTGAATTCAAGTGGTTCAAAAGCAACAAGGCAAGCATCATTCTGGACCCATTGGTCTTAGTTTCAACATCAAATTTTAATCCTATGTCAAATTAAAATAGAGAAAAGAATAACAGAACAGGCACATCTTGATGCACCTAGGCTAGTCTTTAAACCTGGGGATTCAGTATACTGCATTATTTAGGCTGCCTCTACACTACAAGCAATTGCTGTGAGTCCCCTGCTTGGGTATGCACACTTGTAGCTAGCATGAGTGGAGCAGTGGAGCCAGGCTACACAGGTAGCAGCAATGGAGGCCTGGCTGTTGCTCTAGAAGTGTGTGTATCTTGCTTAGAATAAGAGCGGTCCCAGGTTCAAATCCTATCTAAATTGGCCTTTTTTTTTTTTAAATGAGCCCAGCTGGCTCAATTGACAAAGGGTCAGAGTTTTAATCTGAGGGGCCAGGGTTCAAGTCCCTGTTCAGAGGGTATCTTTTCTAGGAGTTCTTTTGGCGAAAGTTCATGGCTTATCTTATACGGGCGGTCAGACTAGATGATCACAATGGTTCCCTCTGGCCTTGGAATGTATTAATCTAGGACTCAGCAGTCCATCCCTATTCAGCAACGCACTTATGCACAGGCTTAAGTCTCAGTGCAACCAACAGACCTAAAGTTAACATTAACCATTGACTTAAACACATGCTAAGGGCCTGGTCTACACTACGACTTTCATTCGGATTTAGCTGCGTTAATCCGAATTAACCCTTCACCCGTCCACACTACAGAGCCAGTTAATTCGAATTAAAGGGCACTTAAAATCGATTTCTGTACTCCACCTCGACGAGCGGAGTAGCCCCTAAATCGATTTTGTTAATTCGAATTAGGGTTAGTGTGGCCGCACACCACCGAATTAATGTGGTTAAAAACCGAATTAATGTGCTTAGTGTGGCCGCGCACAATCGAATTTATACAACCTGTTTCCCAAATTCGAATTATCTAAATTCGGATTAATCCTGTAGTGTAGACA